AAAGACATCTGGGGCTCTGGAGAGAGATCAGGTTCCCCCTCCTCCTCTTTCCCAAATTTGTTCTGGCTATTGCTCTCCAACACAGTTGAGCTTTTTCAGATGAGATCCTGTGCTTTGACCAGTTTCCTGATGTTTTTCTCCTTATGAAATTGTCTGCCTCTTCAGTGCCACTTCATTAGAGCGGTACCCAGCCCCGGTGGCCGCTTCCTCCCGCACGTGCTCCACTCTTCACCACCTGCTGCCCAGCCACCGTGGGACTTCGGCAGCTTTTAACCCCCAGCTTCTTCTCCTTCAGACTTCTGCTTTCATTCCCGTGAAAGGGCACAAGGAAACTATTCATCTCATTACGACATCACTGCCAATAAAAAGAAATCAAAACGCTTTTGGTTAGCGAGCAGGTATTTTTATTCCTGGTATGTTTGTAGGTACCCTAGGAACTTAATTTTTTTTAAGCTCTTCTAAAACATATGCATTCAAACTATCATTGCACCATTTCAGTAAGGTTTTTATTCCTATTCGTAGAGCTCAAGTGCAATTTGCAGAGCAGTTTCTACAGATGTGTACATATCTGTCTAGAATTACAGAACTGACTTGTCAAGAAGTAGTATAGTTAGAAAAATATAGCCCGTGTCTGTCTTCTGTCACTGCTTCCCACTTATATACACTGAGATGTTCAGAAGACCATTTCTGTTCCCTTCCTTTTCTTTGAAGGATTTTTGAAGAGGCTTGAGAATAGGGAAGTGCTTTTCTGGTTAGCAGGTTTTTAGTAGTTGAAGACTCTTGTTTATCGCCAAGATAATCACAGGATGTGTTCAAGCTACGGGAAAATCTTCAGATTTCTTGTTTGAAGCAAACATGTTACTTGGAATTAAATTTCTGCCCTGCACTCTGGGCAGATGCTGATATTTATGGAAGCATGTTCATAAATATATATTTAATACATAATGTAGAAACCAACTTTTCAGTATCTATGAAACGTACATCTAAACGCCTCTGTTTCAAGAAAACTAAGTGTCTTGTGGGTAAACCAAGCTGTATGAACATATAAAATAATGGGACTTAATCCCATCTTTCATTAAGTTAAATTTAAATGACTTCTGCTTGACTCTCTGTCCAGAGCAAAGTGAAATGCAAGTCCACCAAGGAAGCAGAGTTCCTTGGGTGAGGAGTCTCTGGTGGATGCTGTAAGGGAAGAAGGGCTGTATCTGGTGCATGGTGAGAGGAGGGTGCAGACCCAGAGCTGAAAGCTGGACACTTTGTGGATAAAGTACTTCGGAAGGCATCAGGGAGAGGATATCTGGGGAGGGAGAAACTTGGGATTGTAAGTTTTTTGTTTTCTGCTCCGCCTTGTGCTCAGGAAGGCAAGACTTTGTACATCCTGTCTAAATAAGTAAATGAGGTATGATCTCTAGTAAGAGTCCCCCCCCCACACACACACCCCACAAACCTGACAACCAAGCATTTCTAGCTTTATATTAGAAGGTGGTGGGAGTATGTACCTGCCACCGAGATCATCATCTCAGTACCTCCAGTGGGGGGGGGACCCCAGGCGCAGCTGAATGCTGTTGGTATTGCAGACTACAGAATCTACTTAATGTCTTATTGAAAAGAAGTTATTTCACTCCAGCGGAAAGGTGTGTGAACTTTAGGTAGTCATCTCAATAGAAAAATCAGTAACGGAAAGAGTTTGGAGGGCTGTGCCTGTTTGGTGATGGAAGACTTAAATCTAGGGTTGCTTCATTCAGTAGCTGGTAACCCAAACTAAGTTTTCATGGGGAAATGTAAAAGTTGCTGTGGTAGAGAATGAATAGCAATACTGAAATTATCCAAGAACAGGATCTGTACAGTGCAGCATGTTTTTCTCTTGAGCTGTATATTGACACGGCAGATTGGTCAATTATCCGAAATAAAGCAGCCTTTTTATTTTTTTACTGCAAGGCAATATTTTAATAGTTTAAAAGCCTTTTGTTGTGGTTACAAATTGAGAGTATGTTGCTCTTTACAACAGCATTACAAGCGGGGAGTTGAACCATTAAATTTTTAGTTCCAAATTGGCTTCGTCTGCGTTTGAAATTCTTCCAGTTCAGTTCTGATACCAGCCCAGTGTATGCTGGAAATGGGTGAAGATGGCCAACAGAGTAGGTTGTCAGCTGAAGAGGAGGTTTCTATCTCCCTTTCCCCCATTCTGCTTTCCTGCTTAAACCCAGACCCCCACTCACTCCTGTTTCTACTGTGGTCTTGTAGTGTCTAGGAGTCCGTTGGGTTTGTTGCATGGGGTCTTTGTTGGGGGTGGCAGAAGAGCACAGCTTCACACCTCTTCTCTTGGAGGAGAGCTCTTGCAGCAGGTACCTCTCAGCCACGGGTGAGGAAGAGGATAAGCAGGAGGAGGAGGCTGCAGAGTGGTGCTACGATGCAGAGCCTACCAAGCATAGGCAGTGCCTGTGTTTCACAGGTCCAGCACAAACACGTGAGAATTTCAGTCAGATTTATTTCAAACTCGTAGTCAGAAATGTGTTGTGGTTTTGGTTCAGTTTGAACTTAACAGTATAGATGGTTCAGATTCTTCTTCGAGAAAAAAGAGAATAATTCAAACTAAATTTTCAGTCAGTTAAATTCTGTGATTAAAGGAATTTAAGCACTTATTGTGGTACTGCAGTGTTGGATCTTTAATTCAGCGGTTGCAGTCAACGTTATTTTTTATGCATGTTAGCATGTGTTGAGTCCTGCAGCAGTTGTGTTACATGCTCTGTAGAGTATGTGCTTATAGAATTAGCAAACCTTGCATCTCTTCTTTATTCCCCTCATTCTCCTCTTCTAAACCCACTCGCCTTTCTTTTTAGGTTCCTAGGTTGGACTATATGCCAATGAGCATGTATGTGCGCTAGGAAGAGACGCTGTTCTTCCTTGCTTGTTTTGGGATGAAAATTGAGTATTCTGTCACTTAGCTCTGTCATCTGTAACAGTATTTGGGGTCTCCCTTGAAGTTCACTTTTCAGGGTTGTATATTGACAAAAAAACTTTGGCTTCCTCCCTGAGAATAATCTTCTAGTCTTTGCAGTTAGGCAGGAGAAGCCTGAAAATGCAAGTCTTACTGAACCAGACATCAAAAGGGAAATGAAAAGCGGTCCAGAAGTAAATGTTTCCAAAATCTTAAGCATCTCTTTTGTTGAATGGGGCTACAGCAGATGTTTGTGATTACCTGACTTGAATAAAATTTTGATTGTTTTTGTCTCAAAAGTTTAAAATTGATCAGAAAAGAGAACTTTTTCAGTTTTGTAAACTGAAGAGATTTGCTATGGACTGACCTGGACAGCTGGTTCTTTTCAAAATGAAAGGTTTTGCTGTGGTTTGGGGAAGGTTCTTTCTTGATCTGTTCTTTTTAAATAGCGTTACTGTAAAATGGAAACGAAGGCAAGATTCCCAGGGCTGTTTGGATCTTAATTGCAAAAGGAGGAAAAGAGGGAAGTGCTATCGGACCCGATTCGGTGTCTTTTATTTTGCAGTAGAAAGCGCTGAACAGGAAGCTGGGTGGCAAGGACTCAGTTCTCTCTGATTCAGTGCAGACAATTAATGTGCATTTCTTTCCACCTGACAGATCTCACCACCCCCTTAGGCACTTTAATTAGTTGTATAAAGTGGAGCATTTTCACCCGGAGATGTTGAAAGTAATCTGCTCCAGAATACCTGTAGCCCCATTGTATGGTACCCTCCTAAGAACCAGGTAACCTGAGTTGAAGTCCAGCATCTCCAGAACCTTTATCCAGCACCTTCCTTCATCTCCTTTGTCAATAAACTATTTTCTTAACATAATTCTGCAGCATTAATTTCCTCACAAATGTAGGACAGCCAGATTTCTGCCCTGTAGACCTTTGAAGCTAGTAAGAATCATTCCATTGAAATATTTGTATATATATATAAAATACACACACACACACACACACACACACACGCATATATGTATACAATTTTTTTTTCTCCAAAAAGCCGGGAAACACCTTTTTAGGGCAGAAGCTGTCGCTCGGGTGTGGCAGCGAAAGCCATCAGAGGCTGTTTGACAATATTAAGCACTGCAATTCTGTCAAAACTTAAATAACTCTTGAGCTGTTCCAGATTGTGTTCTTCGACCAGCTGTAGAGGGAGTTTCTCCTCCACTTTGCCCAGAGGATGTGGGAGTGTTATTTTTTTTCTTAGTAGTACGTTGTTGAGTGCCTCAGCATAGATAGCGTAGAAGGAGTTGGGTGTTGCTTGCGGTGTTACGCCCTCCGTTCATTTAGGTTTATTCAGTATTATCTGAGAAGCCTATTTCTATTGTTTTTTTCTTGTGAGCAGAGTAAACTGTGGTTTGAATGGCGTTTTACTTTAGTAAGAGAGCCTCTTTGAGGAAGGAAGCACTGCCTTAATTCTAAAGACAATGCTTAACTGTATGAATAAATTAATTAGTGGTCAGAGGTGTAGGCAAGTCTGATCTGTTGATGAAACACTGAGAAGTTTATTCCTATAAAGAGCAGTCGGTTGGATGGTTGTCTGCACGTGAATGCCTGTGTGTAGGTGCATAAATACTCTGATTAAGCAACCGTTCTCCGGCACAACCACAGTCACAATTTTTTTAAAGACCAAAAGGGAACAGACTGAAGTTTTGCCATGCAGTAATTTAGACTTTTTCCTGGTTAACTCTTTCTCTTGTGCCCAGCTTGCATTCTCTCTGTACAGTTAATATTGATAGTTGGTAACCTGTGCTAGCTAGATTGTGTCATTCTTGTAGCTCCGTTTTACCTGCCTGTCTTGGTAGACTTGATGCTGCATTCAGTAAATGGGGGGAAAAAATTGAATAAAGTCAATGGAATTATATACAGCCTACGTAAACATGATGAGAATCCATCTAGGACCTATATCATGGTGTTGGGTTTTAGAGACACTTCTGATTTCCTCCTCCCTTCTCCAGCAGCTACCTCTTTTCAGATGTTTTTGGAATGAATAATAGCCTCCTTTTCCAGATATACATCAGGGGAAGTGAGGTTGTGGGACACGCGCACCTGGGACTACACAGCCCCCATCCTGGAACCAGTGCACGGTCCTGGCGATGCTGGACCTCCACCACATGTCTCCTTTGTGAGGATAAACAGCTCCCTGGCTGCGGCGGCTTACGAGGATGGTAAGTAACCACAACTCTCCTTCCTATTTAAAAAAAAAAAAAGAAAAGAAAGAAAGAAAAAAAGAAAAAAAGCTTTACAAAAATGAAGCAGCTGTGCTCAGCTTTTTGTGTGTCTGTAATCCTGTGCACACACACGCACACACACACGCACTTGCTTTTATGTGAGGAAGTTGGCCAATAACCCTAAATGCATTAGGAGGCATTGGAACATAGCACCCATTAAAACTGATGTTTAATTCCTCCTGGAGCTACTGTGCAAAGCTTGAGTGCCAGGCTGTAGTCCAGCCAAACTATCTTAAGTAAATAACTTGTTTTGCTATGAAAATATTAAATATTCTTCCACCAGCCCTCCCTTCTGCCCACTCGCCCTTAGGGTGCTGTGAGGCTTTGTTATGGGAATACTGGTAAACCTGCTTGTCTGGTTAAACCGTATCCTCCCTTGTTCCCTGCGTGGTGTGCAGATGCACGTTTTCTTAGCTGTTAGTAATTTACAATGTTGGGTTATTATATGAGGGTGACAAGGAAAGGTTTGGCATGTCTGTCGCTAAAAGTATCCTCCTCTTTGATACAGAGAAATAAAAACTGTGACCTAGTATTTAATGAAACTAATTGTGTCCTGGTTATACGCATTGATTCAGATATACTGAGGTGTTTTTACATAGTGGAGGAGAACAAGAGCTAAACACCAACTATAAAACTGCTGCGTGAGGGAACAGCAATTGAAAAAGTCAGGTGTGGACAGTGTTAGACGATCGGGGGTCTAGTGAGTTGCCCAGGCAGAACTTAACTCCTGTCATCTGTCTTTAAATTCTGTGATTTGACACTTGAACAGCTCTCCTCTGGTACGAACCAAGAGGTTTGTAAAGCTATGGAGTTTTGTACGCGTACTTTCTTTGATACTGGCGTTTGCCTGCGGAAGCAAAACCAAAAGATACTCCAAACCGCTTCTGATCCATATATTTTATTTTTAAGGTGAAATTAATGTTTTATGCCTGTAAACAAATGTTTAAGATGATCAACACTCTTAGTATCGTGTACTTGAGTCACAGGGTATTATGACGCACAGTGGCAGCTTTAAGTGCTGGGGTTTTGTCCAGTGTGCCAAACAATGAAAATAGCAGAGGTTCTCTTGCTTGTCTTCTAGTCTTCAAATAATCTAATAATCTGTTTGCTTTGGGTTTTTGTTGTTGCTGTTTTTTTTTAATGTTGCTTATCTTCAGCTGTATGTGCATTGTGGATAAACTAGTGTGCGTAAAGCCGGGCATCCTTATTCTTTTGGGTAGAAATTTTAATCGGCTGTGTGATGTGAGGGCAGTCACTCTGATTTTTTGGTCAAAGTAGATTATTTTCTATGTCAATAGGGAATTTTAAAAGTTGATTTTTATAAATGCTTACCAACTGGGCTCTCAAAGCGCGTGTTTGCAGTTCGGTGGAGAGAATTATCTTAAACTTAGTCAGGAGCTGGGGGGGGGGACTTTGAAGAGAAGGTGTTTGATTGTTCTTTGTTGCACTTTTGCAGCTCCCTTCCCTCTTTGTTTGTAAGTTTGCCTAACGCAGCGAAGCCATCTGCTAGCGTTGGAGGTGGAGCTGTCAGGCCAAGAGTCTAGACTTCGCTGCCGAATCGCTGGCTAGC